ATTCTAATGCAAAACAGAGAATAAAGAGGCAAATCTGGTGTTGTAAATATCAGAATTATGTAACATGGGGTAATTATTGAAATTAATGATGCTAAATATGAAGAAACTTTTAAGTTTTTAACTTTTTACAGATCCAAAGTTATACCTGTTTAAGTTATATCAATTGTTTCTTTTGTCTTTGTTTTTGAAAACAAATCTATATTTTTTGCTTATTGGGTCTTAAATCCCAGTCTGACAAGTACCTATATTTGAGTAATCATATGGCATAACTTAATAGTTAGTTCATTCACACAGAATTTCACCCAACTTTTCTTTTCTTTCCCTCTAATTTTAGTACATTTTCCCTTTAGAAATTTCCTTTTTTACTTAAAGCGAAGACTTCAAGTTGTGTTCATTTTCTTCAGTATGCAGCAGACAATACAGCGTTACCGGAAGCACACAAAAGATGTTCGGCTGGATTATGCCTTCCTAGACTTGGAGGTGATAATCTCTTTGATCATTTTCTTTTTCTTTAAGATGTTCGGCTGGATTATGCCTTCCTAGACTTGGAGGTGATAATCTCTTTGATCATTTTCTTTTTCTTTTTCCTTGCGACATAGTCAAGAAAGTTACATTATTAACTCATTTTTTATTTTAAATTATCATGGCTTGCGTTGATGATATATTTTCTTGGGACCCTTGATTCTCTGAAACACCAACTCTTATTTTAAAGTTGTTACTGATTTGGGATGACAGAATTTGAAGTATGAGGCTGCAGCAAAGGTGAAGGAGATAGAGCTTCTTGAAGCCGAGAAACGGTTGGCAGACCTTTTTTCCCGTTTGGTATTTAAAGAAGCTACAAATATTTATTTAACATCTCCATCTTGAAAATTATAGAGTTAGCTTCTGAATTGTCAAAAATCCAGAAGCTTAATTTATTTGTCTTATGACAAACTTGCGTACATTTTGAAAAGCCACAACTTATTGGAAACCAAGCACTGCGTAAATATTATGCGTTTATATATAAAGCCTAAAGTTGGAATGTGCATTAGGAAGCTTTTGGGAGAAAGCTCGAATTCATGCACCATGGAGGAACTGCGAGAAGTTGAACAACAGTTGGATAAGAGCCTGAGGCATGTTAGGGAAAGAAAGGTCTATCTTAGTCTCCAGAGCTAGTCTCCAGAGCACAAAAGAAGTAACTTATGAGATGTTTGGCGTCTTATAATTCTTGAATTTGTAGACTTTAGATTTCTGAGATTAGCGAAATGATTGAAATTTCTAGAAATTCAAGGATTATGGGACTTGAACATCCTTTTTTAGGATATATCCAAAAGTTCCAAATCCTTGAATTTTTCTATATTCTTTTTTTTTTTCTGTAAGAATTTTTTTTTTTTAGAAGTTTAAAATTTCTTGTACCAAACATCCCCTTGATTAACTACTAAAAATATTTGATCTACTTTTGTTCTTTTTTATTTTTTTTTTTTTTTGGGAGTTCTTGCTTGTGCTTTCAGATGCAAGCTTTGAAGGAGCAAATTGATAAACTTAAGGGGAAGGTAAACTAGCAAATAAAATTGATATATCCTCCTGACTTGTGAGAAATTGGAATTTATGCTAAAAATAAATAATTAATTTTGCATGGAGAGGAAATTTTTGGCTAAATGTTCATTTGTTCTTTTGCAGGAGAGAATCCTAGAAGCTGAAAATGCAAAGCTATTTGAGGAGGTGATGCTCTTTCACTACCTTTTTTTTTCTTTAAATCATTTTTGGTTTTTGTTTTTCTCTTGACTAGCTACCCAGAAACTCTATATTTTATGTTTGGGACCCAAAAATTAAAATCCATTTTGCCCAACAAATGATTTAATTTGTTATTTGGGATTTATGCCTCTAGAGATTTGTTTTTGAAAATCATTTTTGTTAATTTAGAAACAAAATTGAAATGTTTTGTGAAAATTGAATCTAATGAACTGTTTTTAGAGCTAGTTTAAGAAAGCATCCCCTGTTTTGATTGAAAATTATACAAGGATTTCGGTGTCTTACTAAAACAGAAGCAAAATATAGATTCAGATAAGCTTCTGATATGTGTATGTGATTTAGCAGTATAGCTTACGTCCACGGCAAGAATCAAATGGAGGAAGGAAAAATATAGCATGCACAGAAAACAACAAGAATTTGGATGTTGAGACTGATCTTTTCATTGGCCCTCCCGAGAGAGGGAAGCATCTTGCTTTGCCCAATTAACTGGAGAAGGTCCTTGCCCAAGCTTATAATATTTTGAACAAACTTTGTACAATCATATTTTCCCATGATCAAAGTAAAAATTATATTCCAGCATGCAATTTTTTGAATTTACAAGTGTATAAGGGGTGTTTGGTAATTTCTCAAAACATCATTATCGTCTTGTAACCTAGGGCCTGCTACTTTTCTGAGAGGATGAATTATATTCTACTTACCTCGTATGTAAGATGGCAGTTGTATAAGTCGATCGGCCCGGGTGAGTTGATTCATGGGCCTTCGGGTTTGAGTCACGTAGTTGAAAATCTTGTGTCTCCTTCAGTATTGGGCTGGGCCCAATGAGAGTGGTTTCCTACATGAAAAACAGGCCCAAGAATCCAGTATGTTGGGCTGATTCCACCGCACTGGCGAAAGATCTAGGCGAGGTGTTTTGGAAGACTTCGTTATTATATTGAAAAGATTTTTAAACTCAATTAAAATAGTCAAATTGGTTGGGAAACAAATAATTTTTTTAATAGCTATGATTCTTTGACATGTTTTTACGGTTAGAAAACTCAATAATTTCTTCTGTTCCAAAGAAAAAAAAAGATAATATATGCATAGAATTATGTGTATATGTGCGCGTCTCTCTCTCTCTCTCTCTCTCTCTCTATATATATATATATATATATAGAGAGAGAGAGAGAGAGAGAGAAGCTACCCTATTTGCAAGACGGGATCGTCGCTGTCCATGGGAGTGAAGTGAGGAAGATGGACGGTGGAACTGCTGAACTATGCACCGGTGTCCAGCGACAGGGGGAAGTGGTCTCAGGCTTTGACCCTCTGCCTGCAGCTGAATTAACGTACAGCTCTAGTGAGCATGCCAGATGGATACCACACTAGCGCAGCAGTATATCGATGTAATAGTCAGGTCTAGATCAGAAAATTCTTTGTGGGAGGGGGGTAAATTGAATATTTAAAAATTACATATGACTTTTTTTGTGATTTTATTGAACTTTGGATACTAATAGGAGATTATATACACCCTACTGCTGCATTTACCTGATAAAAACAAATTTAACCATATCCAGACATTTATAAATAAATCCTGCAACACATCCGTATTGTCAAAGGACGGCAATTCAATGTTATGAGATGAAATCGGGTTTGTAGGGATTGAGTTGGAAGGAATGCGGTTGGAGATGGTTGAGTAACCATTAGTGGAGTGGAATCGACTGTGGGTTCCAAATGTGCAGAAGACAGCCCCGTCGGACATGTAGCCACCGTCAGGCCCTTTAAGAGGTTGGATATAGGACTTCGACGTGCCCAAGAAAATCAGTTTTTTGTTCAACTGGTCCAGTGTGGGCATCAAATTTAGCCTCTAATTTGGGCTCGAATTTTGTACCTAGAGCATTTAATATTCTCTCCAACGTGTTGGCTTGGACTTCTATTCTTGTTTGAGGTATGAAAAAATTTAGCAAGTTGGACCAATTTGTCTGTGCAACAATGGTAAAAGGGAAGTAACACAAAATATAGAATAAAAGTTTGATATCAATTCCAAAGACACAACACCGCCCAAGGAGAAATTCTTATAAATCCAAGAATAAGAGCCCAAATTAACAAAATATTTTTCGATACTTAATTTCCTAAAACTAACCCTACTATATAATATTCAAGTAAATCTTAAGGTAAGATAATTACACAAAAAATAAGATGCAATGTATAGAAATTTATGTATCACTCAAAACAATCAAAACAATCTTATTCCTTATCCCTTGTTATCTTTTTTATTTTTATCCCTCTATCTTAGAAAATATAAAAGTCAGGCACATTCAAATCATGGTAAACGAAACTAGAGAAATTTACTAATTCATATACAAATGAATATTAAGTTTTCAAAAGGTTTCAAAAAAATTTTAAACTAAATATCACTTACAACTAAAAGCTGAAATGCTTTAAAATTCTCAAATCAAATGTTCTCGTGAACTTCCTGATTGGTGAGAAGAAAATAATTAACAAAGCAGTAAAAGTTTCCGACTCTGTAATTTTTATCCCTAGCTAACAATTTCCTCTCAGTTATGTTTTGGAGAAGTTAAGAAGAGAGGGGGCGGGGGGAGAGAGAGGAGACAGGGAGTGTCTGTACGAAAAAGGAAAGTTGGGTGCATCAAATGCCTGTGAAGTGCTTGCCCCTGATATTCGAGATAACCCAAAAAAGATCGAGAGAATCAATCCATTACCTGCTGCACTTACCATTTGCAGTATCTTTTCTTTAACCTCAAAATCATTTCGGGGGTAAGCTTCCCATATTTGGCCCTCCTCCTAACCTCTGTGCTCCTTCCTCAACAAAAGCCCTTGTGGTTCTTTCCCATTCTGTAAGATTATTCATCACTTTCTTTCCATCTTGTACATTCGTAAATGTGTATATCTTGAATTAGAACTATACGTATAAAGAAAGAAAAGATAGAGAGAAAAATCAGAACTATACGTATATAAAACACACAAACGTCTCGTGGGTGTTGCTTTTCCCTATTATGCTACCAAGTCTCAAATTAGGTGCTTTCTATATTCAAGGGCCTACAATGTCATTCCTCGCCAAATTTGTGCTATCAGTTTGTTTCATCTTTATTTTCTCCCATTTTGTTTGGTGATTTCACACACTTATGTTCTTACATACAAACACAAACTAAAAGCTTTTATTATTTATTAGTTTTTAGTTGCAAGATCTGAGATTTATTATTTATTAATTATTAATATTATTACTGCTACCATTTATTTATTTTTTGTGGGTGGGTTGTTGAAGGGTCCTGAAGATGGTGAGAGGGAAGACACAGATGAGGCGTATAGAGAACACGACAAGCAGGCATGCGACTTTCTCCAAGAGGCGAAATGGGTTGCTGAAGAAGGCCTTTGAGCTTTCTGTTCTTTGTGATTCTGAGGTTGCCCTCATCATTTTATCTCCCAAAGGCACGCTGTGTGAATTTGCTAGTCTGAGGTATGAATCAATGTTTTTATAAACACCTTTTTTTTAAAAAAATGGATTTGTTATTTATGTATATCCATGTATGTATTGAATATATGGTCGTTAGGTCTTGTTTGTGTGTTGATTCTGTTCCCTTTTGTGGTGTTGGAGCTCTGAGATTGCTCATTGGTTTGTGGGTTATTTTGAAGTCCTTTAGGGAAGAAAAAGTGAGGGGAAAAAAAAAAGAAGAAAGAAAAAGAGAAGATGTGGGTATTTATATCCTACGGTTGCATGAAATTTTCTTTTTCTCCGTGATGTACATTTACATATGCATCTTGTATATGTGTGTTTGCATGTATATATGTCTTGAATGGTTAAAGGGTCTTGCTTGTTGATTTTGGTTGCTCTTTTCGTCTTGGAGCTCTGAAATTGCTTCATTGACTTGTGAGCTGATTTTGATTTTTTAAACAAGAAATAAAGAAATTAAGAAGAAAGAGAAGATGTGGCTATTTACATCCGTGGGTTAAATGGTCTTGAAGAAATATTTCTGAGGCAAAACTTGTGTCAAAAGTAGCATTTCTACTACCATTTTTTTTTTTCTGACTCTCTAGTCTCTCTCTCTTCTTATGCTTTATTTACCTTGATAGGGTGTGTTTGGATTTATTTTCTATTGTCTATTTTTTGTGAAAACATTAACACACTGATCAGTGTGGTTCTATAGTTTGAAAATTTTCCAAAACAGGAAATAATTTTGAAAAACAAATCCAAATAACCCCTAAGATACTCCAGCAGATATCATAAAAACCTACCGTAAACTATGGTCTTAGGTTGAGTTTCATTAGATGGGTCAATGCTCTTCATGTGTTTTATTATCATTTTGGTTGCATTTTTCTTAATCTTCATGAAAATCCCCTAAAATAAGTACACTTGCATCCAGCTTCTCATTTCCAGTGCTTTTACTTCTATAAAACCACTCAGTACAGTTTTAATTTACTCGTCTTGATCACTTCTGTTAAATGGACCTTCAGGGTTGGTTGTGCCTTAATTTATTCAATATGAAGTCAATAAGCTGAAGAAATCTCAACCTGAGAGGGTTTTGAGACAAACTAGGCAGTTTAGGCTTTTTTCTATTTCATAACATCTTTTTTTTAATTTATTTTAGTCAGTGTTATCTATTTATTTCATTATTAATAATCAATATCCTTTAAACTGTCAAATCTAATTTTTCAATTGATTTTATTTAAAAAAACCGAAATTACCTCTCTAGAGGAAACCAAAGTAGATGGAGGAAACTTAAGTCACGCTCCAAATTGAGTATACGATGGAGGGAAGTGTTACTGGGGGAGAAAACTGACACTGATCGGATGGCAAATGGAGGGTGGGAGTGTAAAATTTGTCAACAAGTAGACACATGGTGCACCCCATGACAAATGAGAGGACCCATTTGGTTAGAAACTTCAATTCCTAGCTGATGATCAAGTCTAAATTCTATTCTTCTTTCTTCAATTTAGATTAAACAAGGGTTTCTAGTGCTAAAAAGAAATGTTATTGTCACGATCTAGGTACTGGATCCAGGACTAGCACTAAGGTTGAAATGGAATATAATTTAACAAATTTAACTATCATATAATATTTCCTAATGACCTGAGAATTGCTGACCCTAGTAACTTGTTAAATTTAAACTACTAATTCAAAATATTTAAACCCAAATTGTTCAATAGTAATATCTAAATTCTTATATATCATATCATATTATTCTCAGAAATTAACGGGAGATGAGATGTCACTGCTATCACATTTTATTCCACTCATACCCTTCAACTCTTACTCTATGTTTCTTATTCTATTCAAACTTTTTTTCCATAAAAAATAACAATAGCAATTATTATTGCTTGATCTGAGAGACTATTAACAGTACAGAAAACTCCATTATACCCCTAAAATTGAGGTTATTGTTATTATAGATGATTTATTGTTTTTTAAAATTTGATATAGTTTTTTTTTATAAAAAACTTAAAGGTGTCCAAAACAATAAATTACTCAAATTTGTAAAACAATATATATATATATATATATGGAGAACTTGTAAAGTGGATGTCTTATTCACAAGTTAGAAAGGTCCAAAAGTAGTTATCATTTTCTTTTTCTAGTAATTCTTCGAAGGATTCGTGGCATTGCCTAAGAGCATCTTTTTGTTGCTCTTCTGTTTTTGTTTTGTTGTTAATCTATTTTGGGTTGTAACCAAGAGTTGTAAAATAAATATTTGATCCTTAGCTTTCAACCTCATTTACGCAGTTCATAATATCTTTAGGAAGATGCTCCAGTTGTTTGTGCTCAATAGCCTGGTTCTTCTTTTCTCTCTACTTTAAGATTGGCTGTGACTTACGAGGGAAACTCATCCTTAAGAAGAAAATTTTCATATGGAACACATGTACCAAACTTTTAGTAAAGGGCTTTTATCTCCCCAGAGGCTAACTAACTATAGGCAACACAGAAGCAAAAATAATTTCAAAAATTGGATTTTTGATGGTGCACTTTGAATTTTTGCACACGTTTTATGACTTGAGGTCTGCATGCTAATGTGAGTTATGTATGAAAAGGATTATATTTATGATGCTTTCTCACAATAGATTTTGAACTGGTGCAAAATCCGATGGGAATAATAAGGAACAAGGACTAATATTTAGTGACAAACTATAGCAAAGCTGGTGAATTTTATTAGGACCTAACCCAACTCACTAAATCTTTACATAAACTATATAGGGTTAGATCGAAATGAGTGTTCCCTTACTACTTCACCTCATTAGAGGGAAGATGCCAAAACTAGCTAGTTTTTTTCATTTATTATCTTAGCCTAGGGTCATTTTGATATACTTGTATCTATTTGTTATTGCTAACTGATGCAATTACATGCTGGTATAAATCGGTTTTTGTACACAATCAAGGCATTTTGAACGAGCTAATATCTACCTAATTTCTAACTTTTGCCCTTTTCAATTTCAATCTTGTGAGAATTATTTCAGCTTAGTTCTCCATGGTAATTATGTCTTCATAAGTGGAAAAAGCATCAATGTGGTCTCTCCTCTATTTTTCCCATTTAAGGCGTTATGCACTGAATATTAACTTATTAGCTCACTGATTTTGCATGAGATAAAAGACAACAACGTTTTCCCAAATTGGCTAACTATATGACTGTTGTGTTCATAGTTATCAATAGCGCACTATAGCACTCACTATGGCGCCATAGCGAGCGCTATAGCATGTTGTACTACACTATGGTCATAGCATAGCAACCTCGGTATAGCGAGGAATAGCGCTCGCTGCAAGCATTATAAGCACTGTTAGCCATGGCACACTGCACGTGCTTCTGCATCAATGGCAATCGTTTATCAACCTAGTCTCTGTTACGCGAGCCCTAGCCTCTCTTACACAACTCGTCTTTAGCCCTAGCCTCTCTTACGCGACTCGCCTCCAGCCCTAGCCTCTACTACGCGACTCGCCTCTAGCCCTAAACTTTTCTGTGCCCTTGAAATCGAGCCCTAGAAGATCTAGTCGAGCCCCGAAATCTCTTCCATGCATCTCGATTAAGTCACATGCTCTTAGTTGAGCCTCCCGCAAGTCCCCTTTGAGCGAAGATCCCTCTTTGTCGAGCTTAAGAATGGCTTCCATGAGTTGCAATTGAGCCGTCTGCTCTTAGTTGAGACTCGCGTGGCCACTTCGAGCAGCGCAGATCACCTTTGAGCCAAGATTGCTCTCTGTCGAGCATCACAGGCCAAGTTTGATCTTCTCTTCTCTGCCTCAGTTCCTCCTCTCCTCTACTATCTGCTAGCTTCTCAATCACTCATGTAATATTTTTACTTTGAATATCATGTGACAAGTCTGGGGTGCTCTTAGACTTCATTTTGATGTAATATGTTATGTTTTAGACTATGTTTGATATGCAGTTTCATGTTTCGCACATTGAAATGATTATTGAATGGTTTGTATTTCAATAATTGTTAGGTTTTAATGTTAATGGATGTTGTTCTTATGATATATTTTTGCTATATATTATTATTATATAAGGTGCATTATTTTACTAAATATTCATGCACAGTGTTATTTACTATGCATTATGTCGCTATGGACCCTTTGTGCTATGTGCTATGTGCTATAAATAACTATGGTTGTATTTAATGTAAATTGGAATTCAATTAGTAATAGGAATCTTCTTGCTATTGGTATTAGAAAAAGGAATTCTTGCTTTCTTATTGTCTATGAAAAGGTCTTCTTTGTTCCAATTTATAAGAAATGAATAATACAGTATTGATTTCAATTTTATTTAATTTATCTCCAAGTAAGATTCTTTCACTGTCATGTGGGTCATTGAATAAATAGTACAAATTTGGCTCTAAATGCATAATTATGTTTGGATAACTTGCCTAAACTAAGTGGAAAATAATAAAGAGCTTCAAGTAGAGTAGGTTTAGACTTCATTATAATTTCATTGTATCGTAATAAATGCAATCACTATCATAGTAAATTTGCAACAACTAAGATGGTGGGCTCGTACTTTATATATTGTGCCAAGACACTTTAATTATGTAACATTTACTATCTTTAACTTTTTGTCTACTTCTATTGAATTTTTAAAACTTATAAAGTGGACATAAAATACAAAAGTAAAGTTTTACAGCATTTTGGCCAAGCTTGAAACAGCAAATCCTACCTTTTTCAGTTATTTTTCAACCTGTTGAGCTTTAGAGTGGCACGCATAAGGTGAAATAGTTATGAGGATGCTAAACCCTTGCTATAGTTGATTAATAGTATTTCGATGCTTTTTATGAATGCTTCAATTTTGGAGGATGCAACTGTGGAAATATGTGGCCATGTAGGTTTACGATATACTACTTTTGGGATATTGGCTTAATTGTTAGATGAACCATGATTAGAATTTATGCCATCATTTTCTTCTTTGTGCAAAAGTTTGGGTTTTCCTGTAATGTTCTTTAAAAAGTTTTCTGAAGGCTAAATGTGTTACACTTTTAGAATCTTGGGATTAAATGTGTTACCATT